GGATAGCCATGCAAAATACATAGATACAGAATAGCACTTATACGCAACTCTTTGTACAAACAGTTCTATTAAATTATTTCTCCTAAAGAAAATTTCCTGCTTGGTAGTCCATTTTTTGTAATTATCTAAGAAACTTGGCATAGAAAGCTGCCCTCACCCCCAGGAATTCTTTTAAATAAATAATCTTAAAATTATTTCCTTTCAAAGGAATTGTGTCCAAGCTGGATATGGTGATTCACACATGCAATGCCAACAGTCAGGAGGTTACGGCAGGAAGAAAGCAAGGTTGAAGCCAGTCTGGACTGTATATAGTGAGACACAATCTTAAATTAATAGACAAATAAGTTCAGTTGTTCCAATCTGAAAGAACTGTGTAGAAACTGGTTTGTTTGTATTTTCTGAATCCTAGTAATGTGTAAGTCATAAAACAGAGCAATGCCCTTTGTTTCTCCTCTCCAGGTGGCAGCTTCTAGTTGGGGCTGCCCATCACTTACAGAGTGCTTGCTTCTGCTCTACTCCTAGAGAGTCTAATTCAGAAGGTGTGAAGCAAAATCACTTCATCTGTTTTAAGTTTTAGAGATGTTTCAGGTGAACATTTTTCTAGTTATGTACCACTGATAGCTTACATTTTAATTGCTACTCCACATGGAATCTAAGTTTAATTCATACTGATTCTCTGGCCTTACAAAGATGTAGCCAGAAGGAAATTATAGTCATAATTTAGATTTAAAGAGGAACTAGTTTAAATTCTTCTGAAAAAGCCAATCTACAGAGGGGGGCAAAGGAATTTGCTAGAAGTAGTAACAGAAGCAAACACTAGATACAAAACTCTTGACTTGAACTCTTTCTGCACTAATGTCTTGGAACTAGTACCTCCCTAGAAATGCTGTAAAGCTACTCAGTGGTCTGGATATGGTCTCAGACATCCCAAAGTTCACAAGACCTTCCTAAGTTTTGCCTGCAGCAGACAGGAACTCCTCATTCTTTTAAGTTTCTAGCAGAACTTGTTGACATTATTGTTAGAAATTATAGGTACTGAGCAGTGGTGGCGCACACCTTTAATCCCAGCCCTTGGGAGGCAGAGGCAGGCGGATCTCTGTGAGTTCAAGGCCAGCCTGGTCTACAGAGCGAGATCCAGGACAGGCTCCAAAGCTACACAGAGAAACCCTATATGGAAAAACCAGAGAGAGAGAGAGAGAAATTAATTATAGGCATTACCCAAAAATGCTTTTGTTGAGTTTTTAGTAAATATGGAAACTTGTGACAAGGGGATACCTAAGTTTGATATTGAAGGTTGTTGAGATGTTGAGAACAAGCAACTTATTTCTCTCTCTCTCTCTCTCTCTCTCTCTCTCTCTCTCTCTCTCTCTCTCTCTCTCTC